TGGACACCATGGTCGGTCTAAACATAATATGTGCTAGAAGAAAGCTAAGATGTAAATAATATTTGATAATAAATAATAATAATAACAAAAACAAAAACAACAACCTCTTTAAGAATATCAACAGTTATTTTAGAGTTAAGTGTTAGCATTGTTTTGATTTAATTTGTCCAAACATTATTGCGGCCATAGTTCGAGTGATGAACTAGGTTTTGCTTTACTTATGTATATACTCTGCGCGCACGTACCTGACGTACGAGGTATATATTACAGAGCGAGAGGGATCCAAATGTAACCATGGGTTTGGGTGTAGCGTACCCTTTTGAGGAACTCTAATCCCCATTTTTCCTTTTCAATTTGAATAAAAAAAGTCAAACTGAATTCTGAATATGAAGGTTATGAACAGGTATTTCAACAGTCACTTAACATGTTCTCTCATGACATTAAAAAACCCTGGTAGTTTCTCTCATCATAATCTTTTCATGAACACTCAATAATGTTGTGTGTTTCTGATAATACAATTCTACACTTATTTTGTTTTTCACTTATTTCTGTATTTCCCTATTCCAGATGTTCGAAGCTGTACACCAGAACCTTGGCATCCCGTTTGGATCGTACTTTGAGGTGCGTGCTATGCTTGTTTTTAATCTCTATTTGTGTATTTGCTTAAATTTACATATTCTTTTGAGTTATTGTGGTTTACTAGCATCTAACTTTCATGGTTGTGCTTTGCGAACTGAAAATTCTCAAAACCTAGACATCAAGATTTTACAATTCAAAATGAAATACATTTGGCCAGAGTCTTTTCCATAGTTGATTCATGAACACATTGTAGTTAAGATTAAGATCTAGATGACCTTGAAGGGGCATATAAATTGTAAGAATGTACAACACACATGTAGATATTGACTGTAGGGTGGGTAGGAGGGTGGGTACGAGATGAAAGTTTTGAAGTGCAAAGTCAAAGTGCAGCACAAGATTTTCTTTTGTGCATAAATTAAAAACAAAGGATGCTATAAACAAAGACAAAAGTCACAAAACTGCAGCATTTTAGAGCAAAGTCAAAGTGCAGCAAAAGACTGCTAAAGACCCTTGTTCCTATATAGCCACTTTAATGGAAGAGTTTTCTTGTTAAAAGGTTTGCTTATTGCAATTCTTTGGTCCAGGTTAGAACTCTTGTCGATAATGACATGAGTTATCTTTTCCCTAAATAAGTGTAGTTTCATGCTGGATTGGGATCAAGAAAATTAATATTTGGGAAATGATAGTTCTCTTGTAGCCTGCTGTATTGTCCGATTTATAATTTGTGATTTTTATCTCACCCGTTCTGTCTGCAGAATCACACACTTGTAGATTTCTTTGCTTAGTGTAGTCACTAATTTATCTGCCTTTCTTTTGTATTTGTCCAGGTGAATGGAGTACAACAGTAAACTGATGTTTATGATTTCTTTTTGAGTCAATTCAACTTCATGCTCTGTTATTTAGTAGAACCATTATGATTTTTGCAGACTGTTTGACATCTTCATGGAAGGGGAATGAAGATCTCATTATAGTTCATGATCCTCGAGAATATGGAAATTGTCGATTATCTCAAACAGTGAGTAACAATGAGCTCTTTATAGCAAAACATTCAAATTGTGTCATGTTAGGTGCATTCCTATCACAATTAGTATTCTTCCAATAATAATGACGTGCGACTGGGAATACATGTGCGTATCTGCAGATACAAAAGTATGGAATGTTCGAGAATGTGAAGTCATTGAAGGAGCTAGCAGAAATGCCACATTGAACACCTGAGAGACCCTTGATAGTAGCTACGGATTTCACATATGCATGGTGTACTGCAATGTGAAATATTCATCTACTTTTTCCCAGATACGGAGTATATATTATTGTGGTCACAATTATTATTTTTAAGTTTGATGATATTTTTCCCTTAACATCCTCCACTTCTTTCACATATGGGGCCCAAGTTTACGAATGAAAAAGGACTAAATCATGTTACCTTTTCAACTGCAGAAGGCTGCTCCAGCAGTAAGACCAAATTTACCTATTTTTAACAGGTTCAGTTTTCTTAAGTCCCGTCTTATTGAGATTGACTATTAGTTTTCTTAAGTCCCGTCTTATTAAGATTGACTGTTTGCATTGTACTACGTATATAAATGAAATACTTCTTCTCTTTTCCACAAATCGATTACTGCTCTTGATGCTATGACTCACCTGAGAGTCATGTTTGTTTTTCGTATATTTGTTGCATCAAAGAAATATGTCGTTCTATTTTAGATGTTATGGTTTGCTCTTAGAAGTTTCTTTTCCAGCATTTCTTTTGGTGATCTTCAAAAACAATTGCACTTTCAATTTCTTTTGAGTATGTAAAAGTTTTTTAAGATCTATCATGGTTCCCTAATGTATGGGACAGGACTGGGTAGGTTGTTGTTGCTGTTATCATTTCCTCGCTTCTTCCTAATATAGATGGGGATAGCCGATGCAATTGTAGACCTTGTGGGCAGTGGAACAACTTCGAGAGAGAACAATCTAAAAGAGATTGCGGGTGGAGTCATCTCGCAAAGTCAGGTAATTTTTCAGCCTCTAATGCTAATGGGTTTTCGCGTTCTGCAGTTCTGCTATTGTCAATGTGGAGTGTTTATTACACAAAAAGTTATTGATTGAGACTAAATTTACTGGGGAAGAGAAAAGGTTTTGAAAAATATGTATACACTATTGATAATATTTCATGTGTGTGAATGTCAGAAATAGATATTCATAGGCC